CTACTGGAGATTTTTCAGTTGTGACTAGCCGTAGAGATCCATCAAATCAATGTACTGTGGACCAACCATGTATGCTCGTTTCGTACTTTCGTGGAGTTCGCAAAGTGAGACTTACCGAAGCAAAGGGATTACATACCTATGTTTTCAATTGTTTCACATCCGGGAAATCTTTACAAGTCTGGTAATTCTCTGATCATACAAAACCCAAAATCCAGACTTCTTACCAATTGCATTTCACCTAAATTTCGCCATTTACGCTAACGATATCGTTACAAAAAACGAAACTGACCTATGAAAATTCCAAACGGTAGTTACTTACAGCATATCCATAGTAGTATGAATCCTTATGAAGTGTATGTTTATTCGTCCACTTAAGTTGCAACAAAGATTGATCAATTTTATGGCCCCTTGGTTTAGAGGAACTAGACGCCGGATGACATCATTTCACTGATCAATACTTAAGTTCTACCATGTGCATTAGTTAAGTTTCAGATGTCCAGTTGAGAATACAAATAAATATTTGTCATTGAAGTTTCCTACATCATTTATTTTTCTACATGTATGTTATATGAATTCTGTTCGGAAATACTGAACATCACTCTGGATACTACATTGAGATATCAACTGTTAAGTGCTAGCTAACACAGAACCCATGCAAATCCATGTCACTGATATATATATATATATGATACATATATGTACATGGTCTTCAAAGAAAATATGCCAAATTATAAATTCTAAGAAAGAACAGTCCTACGCCTTTCGAATTACTCAAGTTGTCTGCCAGCACACCTGACTCATCTTTGTTTTTTGTTTTTGTGGAAACTCAAAAATCAGACTATAGACTATTACTCTTATCAGGTTTCATAGTTTGATTACCGCCTGTATATGTTCATTTAGCATTTGAACAATAAAATAAGAACCCAAGGTAGGTTATGTAAAGTGGTATAAGGGTGTTATCGAAAGTATTGATTCAATTATAGATTAGAAATTTGAAAAAATGTCATAACTAAAGTAGTTCAATGTCTTTATTTTGTGAATAGGAAACGTAAATAAAGCTATTAATAAGTTGAAAGCGTGAGTCAATTGAAGCTAGACCACTATGAAAAACCTGGAAGCACTGGACGGCCGTTTCGTCCTATTATGGGACTCCTCAGCCATACACATCCACGACCCCGCACTCGCGATAAGTAGTCATTTTTTTAGAAATAAGCTCAAACCTGGACCAGTTAATCATAAATTCTTGAATAATAATCTTCATAGACGAGTAAAGAATACGGAAAGACGATTCCTATCTAGTCACCAATGCATTCTGAAAAGTATGAACGTAGTTTTTAACGTTTATTTTAAAAAAATACCCTTTTCATTCAATATATCACTATTTAACCTGATTAAAATTAAGGCAAATATGGTTTAAGATTTATGATTTGAATCCGCTACCATATTAATGAATACTTTTTCACACCTTTTCACTTCACTTTCCTCAAATCTGTTTCTCGGCATTACTAATCATTTTTAAAATGATATTATCAGTTATTATTGTTGTCTTAAGACGGATGCCCCCGAATGCCCTGCTACGGCCTAGGGTGGGGAAATTCCACTCTCTATTTCCAAATGCTCCCACATGGCCATGCGTATACAGCCTGTGTCAGAAAAGTCATAATCACTACATTATCGTGTAAGAGTGTTGTCTACAAAATTAAGAGGACGAAAAGTGAATGTCCAACGCTTCAACCGGGTTAATGGGTATTGAGTATCCACCAAGGAGAGTTGGAAAACACGAGTCCAAACCAATGGTACAGATGGGCTCCAGGACCACGAGTGAACAAATGGTGTATGAACCTGTTGTCAGTCACCGGCTACCATGGGGCATCTCCTAAATTTGCTCTACTTTCTTGTGGATTAGAACTTCAGGTTAGAGGCTCGAAATGTGGCCCCCTAAAAAAAATACCTACTTCGATTTAGGCACCAGGGCAGTATCACAGGCACAAATCAATGATAAGTACTACTGGCCTCATTGTTATTGTGTGGCGTATATGTATTTGGTGCCTTTTTTTACCAATGTTTATGTGTTCGAATAAAATATAATAAATTTAAGATAGATTTTTGTAACAATGAGTTTTAGTAATTAATCTATCATTAGGTTTAAATCCGAATTTCGCTACAGTCCGAGACAATTTGTTTCTCAGCACTCTATATCTTAACATGTATTTTAGTGTGTGCTACTTATGTCGACATAAGTAATATATAACGCTAGTCAAGAATAGAATGTCTGGCAGCAAAAGGTTGAGAAGATCAAGGAGGAAAGAACGGCAATAGAACGAAATTGGTATGAAAATGCAGGAACAATGAACATCAACGAACATTCCGCAAATAAATTATCGTAATAACCCTATAATTTTGTGCTAGACATGGTCGGTTGTTCTCATTTATGTTATCCTTCACTATAATATATTAAGGCAAATGAAGTGTCCGCCAAGACGCATTGAGCAAAGATTACAATAACAATTTAATACGAATGTCTATTTTCATATTAGAATCATGGTTATACCTTCAAACTTTATCGACTGAACTAAAGAAAATAAATTTCCCAATGGTTTTAATGTCAGTTATCTCCAATTTCTATGACCTCTTCTATTAACTCGAATCATTTACCATATCAAATCACCTCAGTGAAATTATATTTACATGATCAATTTTAATTTAAATAATCGATTCATTAATTATCTCATTTATCTAATTGTCAACTAACTCATGTTATCTCATTATCAGATATTTGGATAGAACCAGACTGATAAGCTGGAGAACGATCAAGTTTGTAATCCCAGGTCATTTGACACATCAAATAGCATTTGTTCTCATGCAATTTTCTTTAAGGCAACTTAGAAATTTCGCGGATTGGTTGAAGTTGAACATCGACACCGTTGGATACCGTCCGGGTCAATGGTCTAGAGGTTAAGCGCTCTCACGCGAAACTGATAAGTCATTAGTTCAAATCTCACTAGGTGGGATCTTGGATGAGCATTGCTGAGAAGTCCCACAATAGGACAAAGCGGCTGTTCAGTGCTCCCAGGTTTTCCATGGTAGCCTAGCTTCAACCGACTCATGATTTCAAGTATAAATTTACTAAAAATCTCCACAAAACCTCCCTTCTGATAACTGAGAAATGGTTACTTTCTACGTGATATTCATATATTTATGGATCTATTCTTTGTTAAATATCTCATAAATATTCTCATCAATATAAAAACGTCTTTAATGGAAATCCTTGTTTATTCTAGTATTTCAACTTTACCTGTTCGCCTATGAATTATTCAACCTCTAATGAAATTATTTCATTGAGGGTTTACTATAAACAAATTAAATTGAAACAAGGACTAATTGATTCAAAAGATTTGTAAAAAAGTAAACCCTTGATATGTTTAACATAGGAACACTATACAAATATACTTCTACCCGAAGTTTGTACTGATGATGTCATTCAGAAGAGAACGGTAAAACCTCCACAGTCAATCCATCCAACTCAGAGAACAAAACTTCATCAAAAACTATACAACAGTACTTCTGTAATGATTATTTTATGACAAAAGATAAAAGTCACTTAATTACATGATAAATATATATTCACCTTTACTAACCACTTATTACTATGTTTTGTCACTAAATGTTAACTAAATCCTATAAGACAAATGTTGAAATCTATTTATTAATCGAAGTAATTCACAATCAGGTTACATTGTAACGTTGATCCATACAAATCGATCAGTTCAAGACAATATAAAATTGATCTCCACTAGGTAACCAATCAATGTAAATAAAAAAATTTCACATAATCAATAATTTTCAATCAAACTAGACTCCTATAATTATTTTTAATTAAAGTAGTATTAATGGAATGCAAACTTTATATTAATATAATTCAATATTGAAGAAAGGTAGTTGTTACTTTATCTAAAGTCACTGATTCTTATTACATAGAAAACTGTTCAATATTGGCACCACTTTCTTCTTTGATACTAAAATACTAGATAATTCAAACTTGTAAGGCAACTACAAATTCATTGGTGGTATGTGAGACTATGAAGACGGAAAACATGCGGATGAATTTACCAGGGAGTATCAATCGTTAATATTTCAAGTGCTCCTTACGGAAGAGCTCTACCACGAATAATACCTAGGTTCACAGCTTCCATTAATTATCTTTAATTATCTAATAGCTCAATATGGTGTTGTGTCGTTTAGGATAGTGTCTACATCGTAACTTGATTGACATAATAAGTTAGCAATAAAGGAGTTAATAAATATGAAATAAATCACTACTCAGTGAATAATCGATGATTAAGACGGACGCATTAGAATTCGAAAGTGTGAGACTACTTCGTATGAAAGAATGAAATTTGAATGTTGTACAGTACGTTGCCAATAATAATCGATCACAATGGCTTAGGTGTATACACTCTTTATCTTCCCTTAAACTTTGAAATTAAAATTGCTTCACAACGTTCTTCCTTCCTATACTATATCCTTATATACAACCTATCTTTTATATACTACCACCACCAAATTAGCTACTTCTATGAATCCGGTGTTCAACTTGTTGTGCTAACGAGGCATGGCAACTTGAACCGATGCATATATGTGCCTGGTCCTACGTTGTAGCTGACTGACTGACTTCTAATAACGAGACATTACCTTACACTATAAATTTCAATAAAATAATTGAAAAACACCCAATGAACAGCGAATCCATTGTCTAAATTTGTCATACCTACCATGAGTTCTGTACATTATGTAGTTATAGATACAAACTACTGTAAATGTTATTTCGCATTTTTAAGCTGAAAAGTAGAAAAATTCTCCTCTTGTTTCTTGATTTTCAATAATCTTTCAATTGACCTCAGCTCAGGGTTTGACTAATACAAGTTTATATGTTATGTACTCATTAATCCTTCACACACACACACACTCTCTCTCTACACATACAAAAATGTCAAACTTACTATATTCAACGATTGTTCATTTGATAGTTGTGATTGATTTTCTTGTATTTCATTGGAATTTCGATAGTACTGATTAGGAGTTGAACTTGAAGGAGAATATGACTGTTTATTTCTATGATCATTATAATTATTATTACTATTATTGTAATATGAATGTGTTGTCATTGGTTGTTGACTAGTGTATGTATACTTGTTCTCAACATCATCATGATCACTAACTACACGTTTGACTGATGGTTTATCTTTACGTTTAAAACTTTTTCTCAGATTAGTAAATACATGTTTAATATTTGATTTGATTGATGGACGTTTATATTGAGGTTTGTGCTGATCGAGATCATTGTCATTCTGATGTTGTTTCAAAGATGTATTCGGATTAGTTTCATAGTTATTATTATTATCTATCTGTGAATTGTCATTTTTACTTGTTAAGTCATCATTTTCTCCTCCACTGTATGAAAGTGATCCTGATGTATGTTTAGTCTGACTTAATTTTGGTGGAGGTGGTCGATGTGGATGCTTTGGACTATTTTTATCATCATCTTTATCATTATTTACAACTGATTCCTCATGTGTTGTAATATAATCTTCAGTGGATTGATTTATTGATGAATTATTACGGGTTGATATATCCGGTGAATTTTTTGTTAAAGATAATTCAACTTCTGTTTTAATGGCTTCATTATTTTCCAGACTATTTTGCTGTGGTTGTTCACCTGTATTCATTTCAATCTCATTAGTATTTTCTGTAGAAACATCAGTATTCATTGGAATCACTTCACTTTTGAATGTATCAATATGAGGATCCGTTGTTTCATCTTTTATTATCATTATTCCAGTATTTGTTATATTATGGTTCTGTGAATCTACTACTTCATCAACAGATACCTTTGATTCTGTGACAGTGGTTTCATAAGTATTACCACTTGATTGTAAATCATTATTATTACATGTATCTGAATGAGTTGTCTTTGTTAATACTTCAGTTTGATTATTAGGAATATCATAATGATCTTCTGTAGTAGTCTTATCAGTAGATATCTTATTTACAATAGTAGTAGAAGTAGTAGTAGTAATAGTTGTTGTAGTTTCTTGAACAGCTGAATTCTCTGAACAATTAACCTCGGTAGACTCCATTCTGTTTACATATAATTCCTTCGACAATTAGTTCTTAACTATTATGTTCTTTGGTTTTTTTTAAAAAAACAAAATCACTAAAAGTGTGTAGACCTGATTTCCTCCAATGGTAGTTAATGTAAATAAGAACAATCTACGTCAGATTAATAGTGATAATAATTATAATGGTAATAATAATAATAGTACTGTGATTTCTTGTGTCACGTAAGTAAGTGCATTAGCACACTTACATGTTAGTTTCAGTGTGTGCGTATGTGTGTGTGTGATAGATAAATGTACAATAGTGTGTAATAGGTATTAATGGAGAGACATTCGACGAATGTGTTCAATCCGTAGGTGTGTTTATATGTACGTGTTTTGTATATATGTATTATGTATTATATAAGAAACCAAGTCAGCCAACAACGAAATTTTTCCAAAAAAATATGTCTCATAGCGAACTTGGTTTTGTTCTCTCTCTCACTCTCTCTCTCAATTTAGCCAAATCTGTTCAAACTTTGCTCAAAAAGTGTAAATTGTAGGTACACACACTACACACCACCACCACCACATCAGCAACAACAACATACATACATGCTATAACATACACAAAATGGAATATAACCTATCTCTCTTGTTTAAATGATGTGTGTGTGTGTTTTGTTCACATCTTATATTTATGATTCTGTATTTCAGTAATCAATCAATTGACTTATAAGTAATATATATTCGATTTAGTGCAAAAAGTCAATAGATTTCCATGTGACACTTCAATCAGGCAAACACATATGAAATAATCAACATTATATAATCAGTATTACTGGTATGATAATGAAATTAACAATTGAAAGTTTGTTTGTTCGTTTGTTTGCTTTTTCAACATGACTTGTATGTTGTTATGGGGAAAAATAGATTAGGGAAAAGTTTCAAAATTTAATTGATTACTATCATTGTTGCTAATTGTTCATTGTATATAGAAATTATTAATTATTAGTTAAGTGGATATGTATTGCATAGAGTTATTGTTATGTATACTAATGATGGTAAGAATATGATAACTACTGATGATGCTTTTAATGATTGAAACAGCCAGCAGTTGTATTAATATTTTAAAAAGAAATATATATGAACTAATAGTAGTTAAGCTAATTTACTTAACTACAATACAAGGATGAGAAACTATTGACCATTTATGGGAGTTATGTTAATCCAATCAAAAGTCTATCTGCCTATGTATGTATATGTATCTGTGTATCTATAAATGTGTAGTGTAGTATTACTGGTAGACAGTAGTACATGCGAAAAACACGACATTTAGCGAAGGGATACATATATATGAAAATAATTTGTTATAGTACTAGTCCTAATAGTTGAGATCATGAATTATTATTATTACTATTATTATTTAAACACATGAATATTGGTACAAAGGGGCACCAGATATATATGCGCCTTGAATTGTGTGAGAGCTGAGATACTGCCCAGATGCCCAAACTAAAGCAGGTGGTTTTCTTAGTGAGCCACACACGGAGCCTTTGACCTAAAGGTCTGATCCACAAGACAGTGGCGCATCGTGAGGTGATGCAGTCCCGTGGTAGGTGATGATCAATAATTGGTTCATACACCATTTGTTCCTTCAGGATACTGGAGCCCATTTGCACCTTCGGTTTGACATCAGGTTTTTCCAACTCCCCTAGGTGGACTCGCAGTGTTCACCAACCCTGTTAATCAACCGGACATTCGCTTTTCGTCCTCCCAATTTCGTAATGAACAGTAATGCCACGAGAAAGCAATGATTAGGGCTTCCTTGATATAGGCTATATATACGTGGTCATGTGAGAGCATTTGGAGAGGGAGAGTGAACTCTTCCCACTCTTGACTATACCAGGACATTTGGGAGATCATGAATCAACTGAAGCTAGTCCTACTTTCGCAAGAAATTTGAACAAGGAATAACCGAGATTTTATAACAGAATGATTGTGATACTAGATTACGTAATATGAATAATAACAAGAGACATAATAAGTTAGTAACGAATCATGACGTGAATGTAGTAAGATGAATAAAAATTTTATTACAATAATTGTAGGTAATTAAAAGTAATAGAGGTGTGAAGTAATTGAAGGGATCCATGAGCATTTCTAAATAAAATAATGAAAACCTGAAACATAAGTATAGAGAGAAACGTAGTGATAATAATAATTATTATTATTAATTTCAAGGCAGCGATCACTATAGGACATAATTCTTTTGTACGCATTGTTCTGATCTGAGCTCATGGATGGTAAGAGATTCGGCTATTTCTTGGAGCTGGACACCAAGAAATCCACCTAGATTTGGACGAATCGTATAGACAACCTTAAGATCAAACTATGGATCAGTAGAATGATTACAGTCGATTATATGTTCAAGTATGGAACTTCTAAGTTCTTTCCGCTTACCTTTGTGTAACCCGACATGGACATTTTCCCGTATTTGAGTTGAAAACGAGTGTTGGCTACGGCCAATGTACCTTGTATATGCATTTATACATACATTTTCATATAGACAGACAAATATTTAACTGGTATTTGACATTTTAAACACAAATTGCAAAATTATTTGTATAGGTACTGTAACTTTTGTGTATGTGTACGTGCGCGGGTATGATAAGAAACCATAAGCGCTACATTTTACTTGTGAAACACAGATAGTTTTTTAAAAGTAGAAAATGGGATGTAAAGATGGATATAAGTAGCATAGAAGATAAATCGAAATTATCACTTTTCCATTGTGAATTAAACCTCGTTAGATTTTCATTATGAGATGATAAAATTAAACCAATTACTAACACTGAAAGTCGAACGAAAATTGGAGGAGTATTTCTAGTTATTCAGCGCTATTAATAAATCTAAGAACTCACGAATTATGAATAGTCTTGAATATTTTATTGAGGCTACCGAAATTTCACGATTAATCATAACTCTATAAATAAAGTATATTTTAATACTTAGTGGATGAAGTCAATGTGTTGGAAACTCAGTAGAAACTAAAATTTCTTATTAGATGAGATTCTTGAACAAAGTTTTTCCTAGTGTGGAGTGATTGATCTCGTAAGACTGAAAACCAAATCACCCTGATTGACTGTCAGAAACGTCATCACTGAGCTAATAGCTTCAAAATGCGCTGGTATGGCCAAGGCTGCTTTCATTTGACTAAGCGTATAAACCTACTCTCAGGAACACGTAGTTGAAAGGACGGAAAGTTAATGTTCGGCACTCGAACTTGGTTGGAGGGTATGGAAGATTCACTTGGAGGATTTAGAAAACTCTGATTCTAGACAAATGGTTCACATAGGTTCCAGGATCCTGAGGGAGCGAATTGTGTATAACCTATTCTCAATGTGTATCTCTTAACGTTGTCACATTGTCAGGTAGATTATACCTCTAGGTTAAAGGCCTCGGGAGTGGACCTCTAGGAAAATAACCTATTTATGTTTGGGAACCCGAACAGGATCCCAACCCACTCACAAATTTATGTGTCGCGTATAAAATTTGGTGCTCCTTCATATCAATGTTTATGTGTTTAAATAAACAATAGTACTAAAAGTACGATCACACGAAGGACTGAGACATTTACATTGATCGATCACAGTCTAGCAACCAATGTTATGTTTCTTTAGTCTTTAGAACTGATAAGATTCTATTGATTAGCATGTAGTTTAAGTCTTGTTGTTCCATTGAATTCTAGTCCTCTTCAGAATAACTCAATGGCAACACTACCGAATGACATTGAGTAACACTACTTCAAATCTCACAGGGATCCCAAGCTCCCACAAGTATGAGTTTTCTGGAGAATGTTAGCTGGTACGATGTCTGTGTTTTTCTGGACCTTCATGACAGTTGATTAACATTAGGGTATACTGCATACGATAATGAGTAGCCATAACTAATGTCTACATTGCAGCTTAGTTGATAGAATTCTGTCAGCATTAATGACTAGACGAACATGATACTCTTCAATACTGAGTAATCAAGCAATGAAAAAATGAACAAACTTTGATTTCCGTTCGATAAGTATCTTTGATGTAGTATTACTCGATCCACGGATGTCAGCTCGTCAAGCTTCAGATGTTTAGGATTTGAGTCTAAAGCCAATTTATAAACATTTGACAATGAGACATCATGAATTTGAAATGAATAACCCATAAAAGTAAATCATACATGAATTGAGCGATTTCATTTGATAGAATGGTTTCGTTCTTTCATTGGACTGCGACTTTTGCAAACTTAAGTGCTGATTGCATTTGATTATTAAAACATTTAATGCTAACATGAAACTCTTGTCCTGTATACCTTGGTTTATAACAATTGTTTAAAGTCAGTTCGTCATGTAAACTTTGAATTTCCATAGCGAATTATTCTGCAAAACACATATCTTTAAGAATATTTGGTAACGAATAAGTTGTTTGCTACACCCTGTTTATGTATTTATAATGAAACATTCCATTAGAGTCCTTAGAATGCAGACTATTTATTTGTCTATCCATGAACTTTATAAATATGATTTAATTATGTCAGAGAGGTCACTATAGTTGTTTCTTTAAATTTCAACATTCGAATCCATTTCAACCATATTTCATCAATACTGTGGTATTTTAATAAAGGACTTATAAGTAACCTGTTACCGCATGAAACCATAGTGAGGAACAAATGACATCTTTGATGAAATTACACATACTCCTGACCTCGAATTCCCCAATTCATAGCTAAGAACTGAAACACAGCTAACTGTCGTGCAGTAAATCAATCAATAAAGCGTAGAGAAATGTCACATCAGTTAACTGAACAATCTTACTTTTCATTCAAGAATTCGAACTAATGAACTAAAGTAGTGATTTCACCCGATTGCACAAGCAAATAGCTATCAGGACTCAGTAGCTGAGTGGATAACGCGATGGCGTTTGAAGCGAAAGGTATTAGGTTCAAGTGACAGAGTGAATATCAACTCTGAGATGCAGGTACATCCGGCTGGCGAGTCCCAAATAGGACG